AAGGGGAGAGGGGGCCGGAGAAGGGGGGGGGACAGGCTGTGACCCCGATCTACAGCAAGAGGGATTTGGGAGCGCAGGACAGATGGAGGCCAAGGGCCCCAAAGCAGGATAAAAGGTTTAAGCTAATCAAAATGCCTGGCTAATTGGTAAGGCGCTTAGGGGCTGGCTGGGGGGCGGCGGGGCTGGAGGTGACCCGCTGCTGAATCAGAGGGGCCGGTAACCTTAGCCCGGGGGGGGGGAACGGATACGCCGGCCCCGCGCCCGGATCGGGTTCCCACCCAAGTTTTCCACCCCACGGCTTGACGGGGCGAGAGCCGGGGACGCGGCGAGGGACGGGCGCAGCCGAGGAGCCACCTCGGGGGGGGCTGCCGCTGTTGCCCCCCTCACCCGGGGTCTCGGCGAACACCCCGCTGCGGGTTACGGCCACCCCGGTGCCCGCCGCAATCTCTCCGGACTCGTTAATCCTACCTGGGGCTAATTAAACGGGCTGTGGGGCCATCCCGGTGTGCCCACCCTCCCCAAACCACCACCGCCTCGCCGTGCCACAACCGTCCCACCGGGACCAGTGCGGCGGCGGCACCGGGTCGGGGCAGACGTTCCCCCCCCACCACGACGCCCGGGGCTCGGTAGGGGCCGGGGAAGCCCCCCCAGCCGCCCCCCCCGGGCGCCGGGTGGAAAATGCCAACGAATGGGATCCACCAGGTCCTGAAGATCCAGTTTGGGTTGATCAACTGCGAGAGCCGGTACCTGACGGCCGAGAGTTTCGGCTACAAGGTGAACGCCTCGGCCCCCAGCCTGAAGCGTAAGCAGATCTGGACGTTGGAGCAGGATGAAGCCGACAGCTCCGTCGTCTTCCTCAAGAGCCACCTGGGCCGATATTTGGGAGCCGATAAAGACGGGAAGGTGCGTTGCGAAGCGGAGCAGCCCGGCCGGGATGAAGGCTTCAGCATCATCACCCAGTCGGACGGGCGTTGGGCGCTGCAGTCGGCCCCCCACCGGCGTTTTTTCGGGGGGCGGGAGGATCGCCTCTCCTGCTTCGCCCCCAGCGTGACGGAGGGCGAGCTCTGGACCGTGCACTTGGCCATGCACCCCCAGGCCAACCTGCTGAGCGTCAGCCGCCGCCGCTACGCCCACCTCAGCCCCCAGGAAGACGAAATCGCCACCGACAGCAACCTGCCCTGGGGGGTGGACGCCCTCATCACCCTCTGCTTCCAGGACAAGAAGTACAGCCTGCGCACGGCCGACGAGCGCTACCTGCGCTGCGATGGCACCCTGGTGCCCCAGCCCGGCGACCGCACCGGCTACACCTTGGAGTTCAAAGCCGGCAAATTGGCTTTTAAAGACTGCGATGGCAAATATCTGGCCCCCACCGGCCCCACCGGCACCCTCAAATCCGGCCGGAGCTCCAAACCGGGCAAAGATGAACTCTTCGACCTAGAGGAGAGTCACCCCCAGGTGGTCTTCACGGCGGCCAACGGCAGATACGTCTCCATCCGGCAGGGTAAGGGGGGGCTTCCCTGCCCACCCCCGGGACCCCTGTGGCAGAGGGAGACCCTACAATAATGGCAGGGGGGAGGTGGTGGGGACGGGGACCATGGTGGGAGCCTTAGTGGAGCTGCACAGGGCTCCGGGGGGGTGTGTAAGGGGGGGTGTGTGTGTGTGCAGGGGGTCTGTGGGTGTGCACAGGTGTGTGTGCATGTGTGCAGGGCTCCACGGGGGGTGTTTAGGGGTGTATGTCTGTGAGCATCGCTCTGTGGGTGTGCACAGGGGGGTGGGAGGCATGTGCACAGGGCTCCACGGGGGGGGTTTAGGGGTGTACGTGTGTGACCATCGCTCTGTGGATGTGCATAGAAGGGTGGGAGTGCGTGTGCAAGGCTCTGTGGGTGCGCTCAGGTGTGTGACCATGTGTGTAGGGCTCCACAGGGGTGTTTAGGGGTGTATGTGTGTGAGCATCGCTCTGGGGGTGTGCACAGGGGGGTGGGAGTGCGTGTGCAAGGCTCTGTGGGCGTGCACAGGTGTGTGTGCATGTGTGTAGGGCTCCACAGGGGGTGTTTAGGGGTGTATGTGTGTCAGCATTGCTCTGTGGGTGTGCCCAGAGGTGTGTGTACACGTGTGCAAAGGGGGTTTTGGGTGTGTGTAGGGGTGTGGGTGTGTGTGTCTGTGTGTAGGGGTGTGTGTACAGGCCTCCATGGGTGTGCACAGGGGTGTGGAAGGGGGTGTGAGGGGGTGTGTACGTGTGCACAGGGCTCTGTGGGTGTGTGTAGGGGTGTGTGTGGGGATGTGCAGGGCTCTGTGGGTGTGCGCAGGGGTGTGTACATGTGTGCAGGGCTCCATGCAGTACCTGCAGGTACACACATCCGTGTGTGCAGCCCATACACGTTTGCACACGTATGCTGCTGTGCGTGCACACGCGTGTACACAGCTCCATGCAGCCCATGTGTGTTTGTATGTGCACAGCTCTGCGTGCACACACACGTAGGGCTGTGCCCGGTGCCGTGGGCACACGTGTGACTCTCTGTGGTGCCGTGCGGGTGCCAGGCTCTGCGCAGCCGTGTGTGTGTGTGTGTTTGCACACTCAGCTCCCTGTGCACGCACCCTCCCTGGCACAGGCTGAGCCTGGCAGCCCAGGACTGGGCAGAGCCGTGCCCACAGTGGGGATGGCACCACAGCCCCCCAAACCCCATAAGGGGGGTCCCCGAGGGTCCCCTGGGCAGCGGTGGCCGTGCCCCCGAATGCCCTCCCATCCCCGCGGGCACCGGGAACACGCCTGCCCCTGTGCCAAGCGGCTTAGGGCCGGGTGAGGGTGGGGGGCAAGGCTATAAATAGGGGGTCTGTGCCCCACGGCGTCACCAGATGGACGCGGCGGCAATCAGATTAACCAGCCCAATTAGCGCGATTGTTCGCAGAAGGATTTTTCCATTGGTGGGGGGGGGCGGGGAGGGCGAGCGCGGCTCTGCGTGCACACACATGTAGGGCTGTGCCCGGTGCCGTGGGCACACGCGGGACTCTCTATGGTGCCGTGTGGGTGCCAGGCTCTGCACAGCCATGTGTGTGTGTGCGTTTGCACACTCAGCTCCCTGTGCACGCACCCTCCCTGGCACAGGCTGAGCCTGGCAGCCCAGGACTGGGCAGAGCCGTGCCCACAGTGGGGATGGCACCACAGCCCCCCAAACCCCATAAGGGGGGTCCCCGAGGGTCCCCTGGGCAGCGGTGGCCGTGCCCCCCAATGCCCTCCCATCCCCG